TGGCTTTTGCTTCTTTAACTCTAGTTTCAATTAAAATGATAATAGCAGGCTTAAGCTCTTGGAGACGGGACCTTATCTCACAAATTTTGCCTACTTTATTGAGTCTCCTTATGTTCCACGAGACTAACATGGGTCAAGGTTTGTTGCCCCTTGGTGGTCATTCATAACCCCAAGAGCTTCAAAACCATTGTTACAACTGATGTTTCTGTTAGTATCAACAACTATGCTCTTACCTTTATCTCTCACAGATTTTGTCCCTCTTTTCCATGATTCACCAACCTGCCTTGTTGCTTCCTCTGTTCCTGATTGTTTGGAGGGCGTGATTTTCTTGGGTGCTTCAGGTGGCTTGGGTTTTGGTTTCCATTGTTGAGTTTGCCGCCGGTCTTCACATGTATGCCCCAGTTTTTGACAAGTTTCACAGAAAGTTGGCCTCCATTCGTATTTCACAGGCTGCATTATTACATCCCCCTCCACATTTCTTATGGATATTTCGTCATTCAATTGTTGTGTAATGTCCACTTCAATCAGTAGCCTTGCATAAGATACACGGAGCTTGTTCGCCGTGTATTCATTAGTCACAGGTTTTACCTATGGCACTACCAATCTTGCTTAGACTTTTTGCTCCCCATAGCTGCAAGGGAAGTTGGGGGAGTTTTACCCAAATTGGGAGTGTTCTTAGCATGTCCCTCTTTAGGTTAAACCCTGATTGCCATTCCTTCAGTATCATGGGCATATTTCGAATCGTGTACGGACCTTTCATCATTACAGTTTCCTTGTCTTTCTGGGAATTGAATCTGAGCAGAAAGTACCCATTGTCGTGGTAATAAAGATCTGGTATTTTCACAAAATTCCACATTCTCTGCATGAAATTCTTCACCATGTTCATACTCAAATCACCTCATACGACATAAAGAATTAGGGCATTATCCCAAAAGCGTATTTCTGTTTCGACATCTTCTTGTTCAATAGCGATCTCAATCATTCCGTTGACTACTTTTGGTGTGACGTATTCCATTGTCAGTCCCTTAGAAGGATTCCGGTTGTCATTTATAATGTCTACCCATAGTTTTCGATCCTCTAGTTGAGCTTGTGGCGTTTCTATTCCATGTTCTCTAGTTGCATCTTTGATTGTGGGTGTCGTTTCTTTCTCAGTTGGGGTTATCGTCTCTTTCTCGGCTTTGGATCCAAACTCAGGCGCCTTCGAGTTCGAGTCAGATGGTATTGTAGTTCTTGAAATATTCTGAGGAGTCTTCAAACTGGCAGTTGAATTCGATGGTGGTGGCGGGGGCACCGTGGATTTCAGATGACCTCACCCTTTCTTCATCGTCTTGGTGTTTATAATAAAAGTTATTATAACAATATTTGTATGTAATATGTATTATATATTACTGTGTATGCAAAATTCAATTTTCTATACCGAAATGTTTATTCACGGTTACTATGTCTATGTAGAATGAAATTTCTTTCAAAAGAACATGATAAATTATCATGTTATTATTTACTTAAATAGTAATAAACTGTTGTTATTATTTATTTTAAAATAATTTGGTATACGTTAATAACCGGATAGTAGAAACACTAATTAACTCATAATCAATTGGAAAAGTTTATTTTAATTTATTTAATTAACATAATTTAAATTATTAATCTATAACAATATATAAAGGCAATACATTGTTTTGGTGTAGCTTTTTTCCTTCCAATTTTACCCTTTTTAGTTTTTGTTTTAAATTTTTTTTTCTCACAACGGCGGTTACACGACGGTTTATTAATCGCCAACAATTTATTATTTTTCATATTATTATCTTTAATTGTTTTATAAATAATCTATAACTATATAAAATTAGATAATCTTAACAATATATAAAGGCAAAACATCTTTTTAGTGTAGCATTTTTTTTCCTCTTTTACCCTTTAAAACTATTTAGAAGTTACACGAATAAAAGTTAACTACTCCCTCCATTTTATATTTGAATATTGTACAAAATAATTAGCTATTTGAAATGAAAACACACTTTAACTTCTAATTAAAAACTATATTTAAATAGCTTCTCCTTATAATTTATGTATTTCATTTCTAACTCATTAGATCCGTAGAAGTCAGAAATGGAGAAGAAGGGAGACTTCCTGAGAAAAATTGAAATCCAAACAATGTTCATGATGATGGTAGAAAAGAGAAATCTACAATTTGCATATGACATAATATGGATTGTGAATCGCACAATGATTTCTATTACAGTTGATTATCGGGGTATTTAGATTCTCCAATCTAATTTTTTGATTTGCTTATTTTATTTATTTTCATTTACTGTTTTGTTCTTCTTACATAAACAAATCCATATGTGAAATTGGGATTTGAAAAAATTGAGGGTATTGGATTTTTGTTAATGTCTAATAATTTAATTTTTCTCTCCATTGTAGAAGAAAAATGAATCATTATCTCTTAGGAAAGAAAAAAAAAGTTGCGTCTTAATTTCTATGATCAAATAAGAATGAGTATTTTTATTAATTTTTAAAAATTTTGTTTCCTCTGTTGAATCTTTATCTATTATTTTTCCAATTTTACCTTTGTAATTTGCAAAAATTTTAGAATATAAACAATATCTCGATTTTTAAATTGTATAATTTTTACAATGTGATGTAAACATTAAACTATACATATCTATACATATGGATAAAGATGACATAGCATTTTGGGGTAACCTATATTTGTTACATATTTGACCTTTAACTGTTATTTTAAAACCAACTACATATACAAAATAAATTTAGTAAATCATAACAGTTTCATTATCAATTTAAAACTTCCACAATTTTTTTTTATCATCCTTATCTTTAACTTCTTAAACAATTATCTCTCTTTCACTTGCAAGTTATTTTTCTCTCTCTCACGAATAATTAATTTTTACTAAATTCTCTTTCACATGCAATTTTGTCTTTCTTTCCATTACTATTGAATCTTTAAATTGTGTGAATTGTGTATACTGCCAATGTGTTTTTGTGATTACCTGTAATGCAAACATAAAAAAGGTTTTATAGAAAGTTGGAATTGCTACAAACCATTGTATATCACTGTATATTTTACTAATTATCAATCTAAGATATATATATATATATATATATATATATATATATATATATATATATATATATATATATATATATATATATATATATATATATATATATATATATATATATATATATATATATATATATATATATATATATATATATATATATATATATATATATATACAGGACCTTCAACTTTTGTCTACTCACAAGATCTAAACCCCCACAGTATAATTTGCATTTGTTAGGGTTCATTATCAACCCCGTGGAATTGGAGAACTTCTTGAAAGTATTTAACATCAACTGCAAAGACATGTCATCTCCTCGACAGAACAACAGAACATCATCTGCAAAAGTGAGGTTTGCGATTTGCAGCCTCTCACATTTGGCATGGTAGTTGAAATTTGGGTCTTTCTGCATTTTCACCAGCAGCCTATTCATGTACTCCATCATGAGGACAAAGAGCATAGGGGATAGAGGATCACCCTGTCGGATCCCTCTTTTGGCCTGTAAAGTATCAGTGTACTCCCCCATTATGCTAAATCTATAGGAAACCGTGGTGACGCCTAGCATAGTCCACTGAATGAATTTGTTAGGGAATCCCATTTCCTTCATGATACATTCCAAAGCAGTTCAGTTGACCATATCATAGGCTTTTTGCAGATCAATTTGTAACATGATTCTAGGTGTGACCCCTTTACTGGTGTAACCCTTAAGGAGCTCAGTTGCAAGCATGATGTGATTATGAATGTTTTGGCATGGCACAAAAGCTGCCTGGTTCTGGCTAACCACACTAGGAAGAACAGAACCAAGTCTTTCAGTCAAAATCTTGGAGATGATCTTGTAAAAAGTTGTACACATTTCTATAGGTCTATAATCTTTGATTTCACAAGCATTGTGGTCTTTAGGGATCAGAGATACGACAGTAGTGTTGAAGGCCTTGTAGATTCTACCTGTTTCAAAGAACTCCTGAACTGCTGCAATCACATCAGTTCTTATAGTGTTTCAACTGACTTTGAAGAATTTAGCACCATACCCATCCATCCCTGGGGTTTTAAGGTCTCCTATCCCTTTAAGGGCTTTGGTGATGTCAGCTTCAGAAATGTTTCTGATGAGGTAATTCCTTTGGTCCAGGTTTAGCTGCTTTCCCATTCTCATGGCTTCCACATCAATGTGGTCAAGGCTGCTAACATCCTTGCCCATTAGGTTTCTGTAGAAATTAAGCACTTGCTCCTCAATTTCTGATTTTTTATATATCAGCTTGCCATCACTGTTCCTAAGGTTGGCAAGGAAGTTGGAATGTTGTCTGCTTTTGATAGCAGCGTAAAAGTAATGGTTGTTTCCATCTCCTTTTTTGACCCAGTCAGTTTTCGCCCTTTGCTGCAAAATTTTCCATTCCATCTCATTCATGGTAATCACATCCTCTGTCAGCTTTTTTTTCCCTCAATCAGTATGCTGTTCAATCTGTCCTCATTCAGCTTCCCTTGAGTTTCTTTAAGCTTTTCCCTAGCTGCTATCAACTTGTTCTTAATATCAGACAGAGGTTTACTGAGCTGTTTTAGATCATGTTTCAGTCTCCGGAGTTTATGCCACAAAACATACATTGGTCTGCCCCTGATATGAGCATCCCAGTTCTTCTTTATCACAGTCTCATAACCTGGAAGCTCAGTAATGCAGTTGCTAAACATGAAGTGCTTGGGAGGTTTCCTCTGCATATGTTTATCCTCCAGATAAAGCATGGCATGGTCAGAGATACTAGGTGGGAGAATTTTCAGCATATTATCCATATTGTTGAGAAACCAATCAGTATTACCCAAAATTCTGTCAATCCTGGAATAGATTGGTCCAGCTGCTTGTTTGTTGGACCATGTGAAATGGTCACCAATGCTATCCATTTCACTCAGCCGTGTATTTCCCATCATGTGTTACAAATCTTCATATTCCTTTTCAGTCACTAGGTTACCTCCTATTCTGTCTTGGGCTTTGGTTACATTATTGTAATCTCCAACAGCACACCAAGGACCTTGGATGTTGGCAGACAGGTGTTCCATCTCTTTCCAAAGGATTCTTCTCTTGTTGATTTGGTTGTGAGCATAAATAACAGTTAACCAATATTTGAGACCTCCAATGCTGTCATAGACACCACGGTGTATATATTGGCTGCTGCTTTGACTGAATCTCACATCCACCATGTTGCTATCCCAGTGAATCCAAATTCTACCATTAGTATGGTCTTTATAGTTATCAATGTGCTTGTGATATATCATCAGTTTCTCACGAACGACCTTGGCTTTTGCTTCTTTAACTCTAGTTTCAATTAAAATGATAATAGCAGGCTTAAGCTCTTGGAGATGGGACCTTATCTCACAAATTTTGCCTACTTTATTGAGTCTCCTTATGTTCCACGAGACTAACATGGGTCAAGGTTTGTTGCCCCTTGGTGGTCATTCATAACCCCAAGAGCTTCAAAACCATTGTTACAACTGATGTTTCTGTTAGTATCAACAACTATGCTCTTACCTTTATCTCTCACAGATTTTGTCCCTCTTTTCCATGATTCACCAACCTGCCTTGTTGCTTCCTCTGTTCCTGATTGTTTGGAGGGCGTGATTTTCTTGGGTGCTTCAGGTGGCTTGGGTTTTGGTTTCCATTGTTGAGTTTGCCGCCGGTCTTCACATGTATGCCCCAGTTTTTGACAAGTTTCACAGAAAGTTGGCCTCCATTCGTATTTCACAGGCTGCATTATTACATCCCCCTCCATATTTCTTATGGATATTTCGTCATTCAATTGTTGTGTAATGTCCACTTCAATCAGTAGCCTTGCATAAGATACACGGAGCTTGTTCGCCGTGTATTCATTAGTCACAGGTTTTACCTATGGAACTACCAATCTTGCTCAGACTTTTTGCTCCCCATAGCTGCAAGGGAAGTTGGGGGAGTTTTACCCAAATTGGGAGTGTTCTTAGCATGTCCCTCTTTAGGTTAAACCCTGATTGCCATTCCTTCAGTATCATGGGCATATTTCGAATCGTGTACGGACCTTTCATCATTACAGTTTCCTTGTCTTTTTGGGAATTGAATCTGAGCAGAAAGTACCCATTGTCGTGGTAATAAAGATCTGGTATTTTCACAAAATTCCACATTCTCTGCATGAAATTCTTCACCATGTTCATACTCAAATAACCTCATACGACATAAAGAATTAGGGCATTATCCCAAAAGCGTATTTCTGTTTCGACATCTTCTTGTTCAATAGCGATCTCAATCATTCCGTTGACTACTTTTGGTGCGACGTATTCCATTGTCAGTCCCTTAGAAGGATTCCGGTTGTCATTTATAATGTCTACCCATAGTTTTCGATCCTCTAGTTGAGCTTGTGGCGTTTCTATTCCATGTTCTCTAGTTGCATCTTTGATTGTGGGTGTCGTTTCTTTCTCAGTTGGGGTTATCGTCTCTTTCTCGGCTTTGGATCCAAACTCAGGCGCCTTCGAGTTCGAGTCAGATGGTATTGTAGTTCTTGAAATATTCTGAGGAGTCTTCAAACTGGCAGTTGAATTCGATGGTGGTGGCGGGGGCACCGTGGATTTCAGATGACCTCACCCTTTCTTCATTGTCTTGGTGTTTATAATAAAAGTTATTATAACAATATTTGTATGTAATATGTATTATATATTACTGTGTATGCAAAATTCAATTTTCTATACCGAAATGTTTATTCACGGTTACTATGTCTATGTAGAATGAAATTTCTTTCAAAAGAACATGATAAATTATCATGTTATTATTTACTTAAATAGTAATAAACTGTTGTTATTATTTATTTTAAAATAATTTGGTATACGTTAATAACCGGATAGTAGAAACACTAATTAACTCATAATCAATTGGAAAAGTTTATTTTAATTTATTTAATTAACATAATTTAAATTATTAATAATAATAATAATAATAATAAAAATGTGTTTATTATTGTTTTCTTGTGGTGAACGGTTATAGCCTTAGTATTCTTTTATTTTGTTTTGGTATTTTTTAAATACGGCTTGCATGTCGTGCCTTTCTCTATACACTCTTTATGTAACTTATTTTCTCATCTCACTCCCTCGTATGTAAGACGAGTATTCTTTAATGTAATGTTATGAAGAAAGAGAAGAATACAAGATCAAAGGAGTACAACCTTGGAGATCTTGATTGGAGAAGTGTAGATCATTATTAGATTTTGCTTAGGTTCTTTCATTGGCTTGGGAGAACAATTGCGCTAGGGGCCATAACTGTTTCATATTGTATGTATATTGATGCGTGTGAGAGATGATTTATATGATAAATAAGCCGGTGAGATCAAACTAATTAAAAATTCCCTCAAAAATTGAATATTAAGTTTATGCTTTCCAAGTTTTAGAGCTCATCAAGACTAGTATCGAATAATGTAGATTTCGCCTAACACGAATGTAATACCCTAATTTTTATCCCTAAGATCCAACATGTCATTTACATCTCATCCCACAAACAAGATTACAAGCTTTGGTTCTCTTGCCTTCCTCTGCAGGATTGTTCTTAAGAGATCACCAGACACCTTCATTTTCTTGTTTGTTTGATATTTGTTTATGTTTATGTTTACTAACCATTGATTAAAATCCAAAAAATGTTTGTTTCTCCTTTACTAACTTCTTCAAGAAAATTTTGGAGCAAAGATATCAAATATCAGTCCCTCATCTCGAATGAATTTCATTTGAAAAAAGTCGAAGTTGATTTGCAACCATTTCAAAATCATCTGATCAAGAGTTTCCCAAGATTTGATTGACTTTTATTCAAGAGACTCCAAGGTTCATGTGTTTATTTCCATGCCTTCTTTGAAAAGCAAAAGAATTGAGTCAGAGCCAAGACAACACATCAAAAAAGGCAAATTTTCACCATTTTTGCCTGTCGTAATCGATTACCAGTATTGGGTAATCGATTACCCTGTGCGAATTTTGCGAAAATTGGGAAAATTCAAATTCTACAAAAATTTTGGCACCAAATTCAAATATTGCAACATGAGAATACTCTAGATCACTTTATTTTAATTCCTCTACCTCATCATAATTAATTTCCACCATACACCTTCACTAATCACCACTTGATCATTAATTTCCCTCCAAATTCAAATTCCAAGCCTAATTTTGATTCCAAATCAAACTCCAATCCACCAAATTTTACAATCCTAAATCCTATAAATAGAGGCTTTATTTCTCTCATTTCATAAGCTTTGGATATCCAAATTCACCTTGTCAAATTCTTTCTTGACTCTCAATTTTCTCCAATTACCAAATTCACCAAATCTCTTTCTTCCTTTAAAAGTTAGTAAGTTCATCATTATAACCTACTAATCTTTGAGCTAAACCTTCATCCATTCACTTTTTCATCATCAATTCTAGTAGGTCAAGGCTTGGAAGTGTGGTTTGTGGAGCTGATTTGAAGAATTTCCAGATTTGGAGTGGTAATTTCTTGATCCACCATTGTTGTTCTTGATACATCTTTCACAATATGATCTATTGTTGATTCTTATTGCTTGATCTTTGGATCTTGCAAATTGTGTTCTATTGATGTTGATTGTTGTTATTTTACTTGAATTTTCGTGCTCAATTTCATCCTTGATCATAAGGTGTTTGGAGAAATGATTGATCAAGTTTCTGCACTTTTTAAAGCTATTTTGCTGTTATTTTATCAGTGGTAACCCGTTACCAGATTTGGGTAATCGGTTACCCAGTGTTGATTTTGAGTTTTTAGCTGTCTTTTGGGATTGTTTTAGTTCTTTCTTCTTCTTCTTCTTCTTCTTCTTCTTGTTCTATTTCCTTTTGATTTTTTTTCTTGGAATGCACTTTTAAAGGTCATTTTCCTATTTAAATTTATTGGACTTAAGGTGTAGATGAAGTTGGATAAACATTCACTAATTCAAATCTATCTTTAAAGTGAATTGTCCAATTCATTTTAGGTGCTTTGAGTTAATGATATGTTTAGTGCTTTAATCCACCAAGATGAGTGAATGAACTTAAAGATGAAAGGACCTTGAACTTGTAATCCAATTTGGCATTCCCTTTCCTCTTCTCTTTTTTCTTTTGATCGATGAAAATCTCCGATATCGTTTTAACTTATTTCAAGTTCTTGATGAAGATGAGATAGTTACATATTTTCTTTTCGTGCGGTATTGCTTTTGGAGAGTGATATACATATCACTTCTCTAGCATGCATTAGCACTAACATTGTTATTGACCAGCCTCAGATAGCCGTGGTTTCTACATAGACCAAATTACGATTGCTTCACATAGTGCTAAATTGTCCCATAATCAGAAAGTGATCATTCGTGGCTCAAACTTATGTTTGAAAGTCCAAGTATAGTTGATTATTTGTCTTAGGTCTATCACCTATGGAACTTGTTGTTAGGAGGCTTTGATTTTATCAATCCTCTAATAAGTTTTCATCAACTTTGGGTTAAGTGCATGAGTTAACCATCATTGATCATTTGCTCTAACAACTAATCACTAACTCACTAATGATATCATTGTACTAATTTTTTTTTATGTTTCCTTCTTTCTCCCTATCTCTTTTTTATCTTTATGCTCCATTATTATCATCTCATATCATATTATTGTTTATACTTCTGTTATTTTTCCTTTGTCTGTTGGACACATGTTTATGTTTCCGCTCTTTTCTTTTGTCCACTTGGACCATATCTTGTTAGAAACACTAATAAAGGATTAAAGCTCTAAAAAACTTGGTGCTCTTAACTTTGTGGTTATGCTCTTGGACTATTCTTAGACCTCGGACCCTTGGGACTATTCTTGGACCCTTGGACTTAGAAATAAGACTCTTTCCCTATGCTTGGAGTATTGTGGATCTTTGCTTTTATTTAACCTGCTCATTTACTTATGCTTCAAGATGGATGTGTTGCACCCTAAAATTTGACCAACCGGTCCCCATATCTGGTTTATGTTTCGACGCATTTTGCATTCGCATTCGCATACTGCATGCATTGCATTTCTCTCAGTCAGATGGATTTTATCGGGATTATAGCCCCTGGCGTTTCAGGCAGTACAGGCCGGTTGGAATAAAAGTCTGTTGAGAATTGGTGCTCGTCTCCGGTGCTTTCAGGCCATCTCGGTGCCCGGGTTTCGCTACGGTTGCGCAATTGGGTTTTATTCGATTTAATCGGCTTCCTGGCATTTTTAGGATTTTTCTTTTATTTTTCTGATTTTTTAATGCATTTAAATGGATTTTTCTGGATTTATTATATTTTTTAATAATTTTTAGAGTTTTAAATAGATTTTCTTTTCTTTTTTTAGAGATTTATTAGATTTTAAGTTTTTTAGATATTATTTTCCTTTTAATAGATTTTTTTAAAAAATAAATATAAATAGATACTATCTTTTCTTAAATGAGAGTA